GAAAAGAAGAAAGAGAAGAAGAAGAACTCACCGTGTCCCCCGCATTCTCGCTCCAAAAAACTTGCGTGAGCGTATTTAGTCCGCTGTTTCCTTTCAACTCCACATTGCCTGCGTAATCTGCCTGTTTGAGCGCAACCTGCCAGCCGGGACTCGCGCCAGAAGACTGAATGTGTACGCCACAATTGTTTGTCGAGTCGCCCTTGAGCTGAGAAAAGGAGACGCCGGCCGAGTCCCCGAGAATGGTCGTGTCGGACGTTACGGAGCCCGAGTCGTTGGGGCAGCCGGAGCCGGAGAAGACGAGGCGCGTTATTGTTGGGGGAGTAGGGGGAGCGGCGACGGCGAGGAGCGCGAAGCTAAGAAACGGAAAGATGCGGGCGTGCATATTTTTTCCTTTCCTTTTCTTTTCTTTTTAAAATCGGTAGAGACGATGCTAAAGGCAGTCTACGAAAGGGAGGAAAATTGATGGAAAGATTGATTGTGTTATTCGTTGAGGTAAATGGGTATCGAAACTTTGATCGTAAAAAAACCTCCGTTTCTCAATCTTCTCTCAGCAATGGACAAAACCAAGAAACCCATTCTCCTTTATATACCTCCCTTCCTCCCCCCCTCTCTCTCACTTGATCAATCTCCGCAATTACTTTATCATCTACTTTACTGTCTCCTTTCCTCCCTGGTAAACTGTAAAAGAAAAAAAAGTCCCCTCCCTGCAAATCCAGCCACTCAACTTTTGATATTGTTTCTCTTCCCGCCACTGCATATAGAGCCATTTCCCCCGCCCCTCTAATATAAACGCTGCGTGTTGTTGCGCTCTGGCCCGCGTCCCATCCGGCCCTTACGAGCATTTATCCAAATTAAGCGAGTCGACGGAGTGACCAATCAGCATTGCGGTGCCGCCTGTGTACCGCGACAACGTTTGTATAGTATAGGCCTTCTAGAACGTCCTTGTCCGGAATTTAAAAATCAAATTTAGTCTTTTTGACATTCCCACTGCCCGCCCCGCGGTGTATGTGGTCATGGGTGGATTTTGAGGTATTGGTGTGGCGTTGATATGTTCTGGGGGGCAAGAAGAAGAGTATATTAAAGAATAAGCTCTTCTTTCCTGCTGCATTAGGTCCACGTGGAGGGAAAGAAAAAGGGATGCGTATTACTATTGTTCCTCTTTAAGACGGATGAGCGTCTGGGCGTCGTATTCGAGATGTGTGGGCTGGAAGCGCCTCGCCACTTCCTTCGTATTAACAATGTAAGACCTGATTAACTTTATACAATGCGATATACTTCACTGCATGTAAGGTTCAATGCCGGTGAAAAAAAAGATAATAGATTCATCATCTACTATCGTAGCATGCCGCTTCAATATTGATGTGAACTAAAAACTTGATGCCATTAATAAAACGTGTTCATGCGGTAAATCATTGTCGGATATCGTACAAGGTCCTTCGCCGAAAGCGCCTCGCTATATGCTATTTTAGAAAAGGGTGTGTCGGAAATGTCAATATACAAAAGCCAAAATCCACTTTCTTACTCTCCAAGTCTTTCAGCACCTTCTTTTCGAAAGCGTGGCTCTTAGATTTATGCCCTACATGGTCTTCCTGATTCTTCTTCTCTTGCGTCCACTGTCGATTTCGACACTCGAACTCATGGTATCTCTGGCACTGCGCGGTGTTGAAAACCGCTCTTTGATGTTGTCTCTAATCATCTTTCTCGTCTTGTCGCGCTTCAGCTGGCGCTCCTCATCTGGTGCGACAAAGCGGTGCACGGTACGATGGTCACGAATGCGTTGTTCTCGGTCATGCTTACCCTCTCTTTCTGTCTTTGGCCAGGGAAAACCATACAGTTTGGAGTGACGCTCACACCGCGGGCATTCCTTCCGAGTATTATTGCCCTCTTGCTGGACAAAGTCCATTTCACATGTGTGACAATTGACCCACTTGGAGCCCTTGGCAGAGAGCACCGCATTGGAAGTCATGTAGTCACCTGGTTTGCGCGTGTTCTCGACGTAATCGGCCTCGTCTCCGTCTTCGATCGTAATGGGTGTTCCGACGCGGTTCTGAACGTCAAAGCGCGATTTGGAGCGAGTGGTTCGAATAACGGGGCGTGGCTTGCGCTTGACAATCTGCTGATTTCCATCGTCAAATTCGAAACTCTCAGAAAGTTCGCTGAGATCGGACATAGAGTCTGGTTCTGCTGTAGGTAGAGAGGGCCACGGGGCGTTTACCGTAGTCGTAGTAACTTCCTCCTTCACTGTCGTTACTCCCAATGTCGGCTGATCATGAATGGTTTGCGGGTCGACTTTTTCTTTTGATTCACCAGCTTCCTGAACATGATCTTCGTCGATTGATGTGGCATCCGTCGATTCTGAAGACTTGGGCGATGCAGCCGCTATTGAAGATTGCGGCGAGATTTCCCTAGAAGAAACGGTTTCATCCGTTCTCACTGTGAGGAAGCCTTCGCGCTGCTGGTTGCGCATCTCGCGTGATATTTGCGGAAGTGCGGTCAAGTTGCTGGAAGGATCTTCTATGCTCGAAACAGCAATTTCCTGTCGTAATGACGATGTGCTATGAGCCTTTTTCAGTGTCGTCATTCGCAACAAGTCCGACTCATCAGGCTTTGTCGGCGAGGTCTTTTGTTCAAATTTAGCTCGCTTGGATGTTGGCATGGAGTCAGACTCGGGGTATTCAACGGTGGAATCTTCCCACCGCCGCTTTACAGATGTCTGTGTGTCTTCAGAATCGACATCATCCTGCTCATGGCTTGTGGTTTCGGTTTGCTCAGTAGGTTCCTCGCCATCGCTGCGCTCTACTCGCTTCATTGGTGCCCATCCGTTCTGTTGCAAGCGCTCACATGTACTGCAAAGACACTCTTCGTTGTCATCGCCGAAATAATCCTCGCCATATGACACAGTAATCTCCTCTCCCTCTGAGATGGGCTTTATTGCAACAATCTGCATGCCGTCGTAGCCCTTGGTGGTGAGCTTTGCATTGGCATCGCAATCATGGTTGGCGAAGCGTGCTGGGCCCAGAAAGAGAGAGCGTGTCTTCTTTCTACTGGAGATGACCAAACTGAAGTCCTTGCGCAGTAGTTCCAAAGTTTTCTCTTGCTCTTCGGTCATGGCCACTTGGACACCGGTCAGATACTTGATCTCCTCACGTGGGTTGATGTCGCGCCGTGCGGTGATTGAGGCCTCGTGCTCTGTGATGGTGTAGCGATTCGTAGTTGTCACGTCGAACTGGCAGTCGGGCATGTAGATGTTGACATATCTGCGGAGATGTCGCCTGAACTGCTCCTGGTCACGCTCGTCTTTCAGGCCGACCAGGAATCGACGCAGACGAGGCAACTGCAGCAGTTTCTGCACGGCCTCGGCAGGATCTTTGTCCCAGATGACGTGTTGGCGAATGATGTCGGCGACGTGTTCGCCATCCAGGCCTCGCACGCCAGTGAACCGGCCACCTCTATTCTTGCGGATGGTGAACCAGCCATAGACCTTGTCGATGACAGCGTCGGTGATGATGTCGTCGAAAGTCGCGAGCTTGTCCAGCGTGAGCTTGGTCGAGGGCGCCATAGCGGCGCAGTGGCCGGGAAAGAGGGGGCGGATGTCGATGGGCGAGCAGGAGTGGTATCAGGCGGTGTGGACAGTAGAAATGGTTGTGGGCGTGGTTGCGAAAGGGGTGGATGGCAGTGGTCGCTGACGTGAATGGGGGCCGGGTGGTGAGCGGAGGCGCGGCATGCGATCAGTGGCGTACGACTATAACAGCAGGCGCACAACAAGGAAAGGGAAGGAGCGTCTCACGCCGTGACAGCAGCAGCAGGAGCAGCAACAACGACGCGTGTATGCAAAGGAAGGAGTGTCGGGCGCGCACGGAGACGACTAGGATAGAAACGGCTGGATAGTCTGGAGACCGGCGGGAGGACGAGACGAGTGACAGGGCTGGGCTAATACTGGACTGCTGGGCTGGGGCTCAAAGAAGACCCCTGCCGGCTCCGACCCAGATCTCACGCGCGGCGTGAAGGGGGGTGCGTAAGCGAGAAGCGAGCCGCCTAGGGCAAGTGAGGGAGGACCGGCCGGAGAAAGGCCGGCAAGCAACTTCAACTTCGTCGTGCAACGGCGGCATTGCACTCAAACCGTTTGATCGATAACGCCGCCGTCAGCACACAGGTGCACACTGCCGTCCTCGCGAGCAACCAGACAATAGAGCCAAGGCGCATACGATGATTCAACTAAAGGTGTGTCTGCCCGCGCCTCAAAGAGCACAGCAACAGCAACAGCAAGAGCAACAGCAGCTCACATGCATCAAATCTAGTCACTCGTCAATTGCATCGACAACTCGGGCGCCGCAATCGTCGAGTGCGTCAACGTCCTGCGATCGAAGCGCCCTGCCAAAGTCGGTATGTGCCACCCCTAGACGGAGACAAAGGTCGGGGGGGGGATCGAGGTTGACGACAGCAGGCGACCGCATCGTCGTGGTGGTGAAGAAGCAGCGCAACTTTGGCCCCGAAACCGGCAACAGCGTGTCCATCAGCGCAGCCAACAAGGTGCGGCGAGGCGATGTGCGGCACGCAGTCGTCGTGCGCACCGCCAAGAAGTGGCAGCGGCCAGACGGCAGTGTCGTCAAGTTCGACGACAATGCCTGCGTCCTCATCAACAAGGCCGGCGAGCCCATCGGATCCAGAGTCAGCGGCGTCGTCGCTGCAGAACTGAGGCAGAAGCAATGGTCCAAGATCTTGTCCCTTGCCCCAATGCACGTCTAAGCCAGACGAGCCAGCACAGCAAAATTCAAGAAAAAAAGCAGCACCTTGCACACTTTCCGTGACTGCATCTTTGCACTTTCCCAAAATGCCCAAGAATAAATGTACTATTATCATCTCCATGTCACTACGTCATACCCACGGGGTATCTGAAGGCCCTCTTTTGTTTTTGTTTTTTCCTCCCTAAACTCCTCGCTTTATTATATATCTATCATGAGAATAAACGCCAACCGCATGCATGTCATGTCGCAATTCGCCTAGTTGTTGTCGGATGGGCGTGTGACGTGACCGCATCCCGCGCACACGTAGTACAGGGCCTGGTACAAAGTCAGACATGGCCGCCACTCAAGATTGCCTACTCACCATGCCCGTCTCGGCAGTGCGCTGCTGCGACTGGAAAAAGACGGCTTCGTTCTCGCCGCACTCTGTGCATTGTTTCTGCACTCGTGGTAACTAGACGCAGGTACAGTCAGCGAGCACGCTCAAGAGCAAGCAAGCAACTGTACTGGTAGTGATGCGCACGAGGCGCGCATTCAGGGCGTGTGCTTGTCATGCCACATTTCCTCGTCAAAGTCGTCGTAGTCGCCATACATGTCCTCGTCGCCGCCCATGTCTTGCTGGGCGAGTGCTGCCTGCGGGTCCTCGTCCTCGGCCTCGAGCACAAAGCCGGGGGCCGGTTCCTCGCCGCATTCTTCACACATGATGGGCATGCCACACATGGTGCAGCAGGGCATCTCCTCAGGAAGGGCTTCTTGGGCTTCTTGTGCTGCTTGTACATTGGACAGGGAAGAACCAACCGTGGGATCTTGGGCAACCTCCGCTGTCACACCGGCCGTGGCTCCGACCGTCGAGGCGATTTCGTGGCGCATCACGCAAGACGAGGGCGCTTCTTCGGTGAAGTTGCAGGTGCGGCACGCAAAAAGCAACTTGTTCTCCGACTTGTCTTCGCGGGGAAACAGGAGGTTGGAGCTGCCTCTGGTCAGCGGTTTCCACCATGTGGCAGGGCGGCAAGGCTCACCATTCCGAGCAGAAGCGGAAGAGAATGGGCTCTTTGCCGCCTTTGACACCGCTCGTTTGGGCTGCTGGGGACGACATATTGGCGGTGGAGGGTGCTAGACAGTAGACAGGAAGGAGGGTTCGTCGTGTGCTGGTACACTAATTGGCCGTACGAGGTGGTAGTTTCTGTGCAGTCGCGCCCGTATTGACAATCGCACGTTTTGAGAAGGGAACACTGGTGGTCGAGACATGGGCATGGGCTGACTACTGCTATGACTGAGCGCGCGGACCACCCCACTTGGCTCGCGCCGCCTCTGTTGCTGTGCAGGCCCTTTGTTTGGCAAAGACTCCCCCGCATTGTCGACTTGGGACTGCCGATCGCCCTGGCCACCGCCTTCAATTCCAGACGTCGCTCCACGCTGCCTCCTTTGACTGCCCCCTGCAAAGACTCCCATCATACTCTGCGCCGCTCCATCTATACTGCATCAAACTCTGGTTGCACCCCATCAAGACACAAGTAGCAAAAATGGTACGCATTGCGCGAGCCCGTCTCCACGCCTGGCCTTCAGCTGCTCACACGTCATAGTCGTCCGCCGAGACTGGTCTCCCTGAGGGGTGGGAGGTGCGCCGCTCGAATACGAAGAACCTACCATACTACTTTCATGCGCAAACCAAGGACTCGCGATGGGAACCGCCCGCGGGCACCGATCCGGAGAAGCTCAAGGCGTACATGGCAGCCAACCACAGCTCCAAGGGCGTTGCGCCTGCTGCCTCTGCGCCGACTGAAGGCAAGATTCGATGTGCTCATCTGCTTGTCAAGCATCGCGACAGCAGACGCCCTGCTAGCTGGCGGGAACCCAACATCACGCGTTCGGTGGAGGAGGCTCGCGAGATGATCAAAAAGTACCACGAGCAGATCAAGGCATACGAGCAGGGCCAGAGTGATGGAAACGCAAAATCATTGTCTGAGCTGGCAACGACCGAGTCGGACTGCAGCAGCGCCCGCAAAGGAGGGGACCTGTGAGTTGGCTGTGGGAATTGGACAAGAGCTGGTTGGCTAACGATGAGCAGTGGCTTTTTTGGCAAAGGCGACATGCAGAAGGAGTTTGAGCAGGCAGCATTTGCGCTTGAAAAGGGCCAGGTCAGCGACATGGTCGAGACGGCATCAGGAGTACATTTGATCCAAAGGTGGGACGACTATCACATGGGCTGATGACGGTACTAACGAAACGCGCGATATAGGCTGGAATAGTCGAGGTGCCGTGCCAATGGTGTGGAAGAGAGACGGCAAGCCCAAGCTGTCGAGATTGCTTGCACTTGGACTACCTACTTGCAAAGCGTCGGGCAGGGTGCTGAGGGATTTACTGGGGCGGATGCCGGCTATGCTAGATAAAAGGGTGTCAAGCGTGGCCCAGCGTCGCACAAAAGCGCTCAACACCAAACAATGATAACCATGAGGTGCAATGCTACCACGGTAGGCCAATGCAAATGAGAGTCGTCATAGTCTAGCAGCTGCCGCGCGACCGAAACATGAAGTGGGTGCCAGTAGTCTGTTGTCTGACCACTTACACCATGACGTCTCGCACAGGCTCTTGCTGAAGCGACAAACAGGTTCTGCACCACTTTATTCGCGTGCTGACGACAGACAGACAGACAGACCACACAGACGTGTTGGCGAGCGAGCCATGGTTCCGCGGCGCCACAAGCAGCGGCAGCGGCAGCGGGAGGGGGCGAAGATGATGTTCGCGACGTCGTTGTTGACGGCAAGAGCTGGGCGAGGGCGAGGGCGAGGAAGCTTGCTTTTGCGTCTTTTTGCCCGCGCCCGCCGTCGTTGTGACGATCAGCACGTCGGTGGAAGCATGTTGCACGCTAATAGAAGTCGAGTCGAGCAATTAGGTGCAGACGGGCGTCCGCGTCTCAAACACGCCACGGCCAGACTTTTTTGAAACACGGCTGCTTTTGACGCCGTCGGGCACAGAGGGAGCCCAGCACACACACACGCACACACACAGCACACAGCCCAGCCCAGCCACATGCACTGTGTACGTACATAGGCGGAGCAATCTCAAACCGTGTCAGCTCTGGGGGGCTGCTGTCGGCATGCCGATGTACTGCGCCATGCCCTCCTCAGGCTCAGCTGGCTGTTCCGGTTCATTCCGAGGACAGGATGCGGCGGCAATGACTGATGTTTCGCGTAAGTGGCTGCTTTGTTTTTTTTTTGCCCTTGCCCACCTCAGTCCACATCAGCGCGCACACACTCACGTTGCACCCACACATGGGCACACAATGGCGACCAACCGTTTCCGGGGCATGCTCTAGCCCCAGACGGGCTTCTGGGCGCTGGCTGGTGTGGCGCACTGCCAACGCGGTCTTTTTTGGACCGTCTTGCATGCTGATAGCGTGGCCGCAAAAATGCTATGCAGCAGAAGCAGCAGCAGCAGGCATGCGGCAGCAGGCGTGCAGCAGGCAGGGCAGCCAAGGGCCGGCCGGACAGGGCAGGGCCGGGCAAGGGCAAGGGCATGGCCATGGGCGTCCGAGCGTTTGGGCTCTCTACCAACCGCCCACCCTCCTCCGTCCTCTAGGCGGGCGTACCTTAGCCTTAGCTGCCCTTCACACGGCCACCGCAACGTTTTCCCTGCATGCTGGCATCTTCCTGGGAGCGCCGTCTTTGGGTCGAATCAATGGGTCTGCGCCCTCCCAACCACACCAGACGCGCCTCAATTGCCGCACGCGGCGCTCGCTGCTCCATTGAGCCTGCGTTAGCATTTGACGTAGTAGCTGCTCGTCGGGTATATGGGAAACCGCCCAGCACCACCCTTTGATTCCCATCCGCACACCCAAACGCCGCCCGCACAGTACCCGCACCCCCCTGCCTAAAACTCCACACTTCTTCCTGCTGACTCCGCTACGGGCTTCGATCACCAGCCCTCGCACGATCCTTTCACCCTCCCCCCCCCC